TAATGACTGAGGACACAGATGCCTGTCCAGAATATTTTCATTTCTACCAAACAGGTTATAATTGCCACAGAATTCTGGGCTTGAGCTTGGATCTCTTGTGTCTCTGGAAGCTCTCACTGTCTTGTGCCTTGTACCCCAAGGTCTCCAGATCTATTTATCCAATAGAGACCTATTTCCTGAGCTTCTATGTTACAAAATATTATTCTCAGTGTTACACAAACAAAGCAAAAATAACCAGGTAAGGCAATTTCTTTCACAATCTAATCCCAGTGAGCATGCACTCCAGGGCAGGGTGATCTTTTTTCTTTTTTCTTTTTTCTTTCTTCCTAATTTAGGTGGTAACTATGTCTCATCCCATTGTCGGGAGCTCAATCTCACAATCTGACATGGTCAGCTAATTCATAATTGGCACAAAGGGGAAGGGTGTGATAGTCAAGTCTCAGGAATGTCCAGGAGCTGGGCAAACAGGCATGCATACAAGAGTTCACAAGATGTGGGAGGTTTATGGAATATTGGTCCTTGGTGGGGTAGCCAACTTGATAAAAAAGGAAAAAAACGTTTCTCCCATCTAAGCTATTTTTCTAACTGCCTGTTGGTCACTACATGGTCCAATGGTCACACAAATTCTAGGAGTCACAATTTATCTCCTCTCTCCACTACACTTGCCTACTTTGAGTATGGGTTCATGGTGTACTCTTGCAGGATATCAGTTCTGACACTCCTGAGACTGCCCAATAAAGTTATACTTTGAATCAGCTGGTGAAGCCAGTGACTGATTGGAACTGTCATAGAGTTCCAATTTATAGAGAAACCAGCAATTTGGATTGAGAAGATGCACAAGAAGGAAAGGGCAGGGACTAGAGCTCTCTTGGTTCTGGGACGAGAGAAGACAATAATTAAAGTATCAGTAGATTCATGTACAGCTGCTAACAGAAGTGTACAACAGAAAAACCACAGTGTACCCTCTAAACTACCTGACTTAATGCCACAGTAGAATTCTGGATATTACTGTTGGCTTCTTTCTTTTCTTACTCTGGAAAAGTCACAGCTCCAATGCTTACTCTGAAAGAACCAGAGTTCCATCTTCCCTTAGGGACTTCCATTCAGGCAAGAGGAAGAAGAAGAGAAGGAGGAGTTGAAGATTTACTAAAATAAAATTTGACACATATCCCTTAAAATTTTTTTTGACACATATCTTAAGCACAGAGGTTATTAGAAAGTGGGGATGGGCTGCCAGGGAAAGAATGAGACATACTCAAACACTGGGTATAGGCTTCTCCAGGGAGGTTCACACATGGCTGTCTTTTCAATGGGTGCATGTAGGAATTTGGTGGCTTTCCAAGTTATATCTGTAAAAGTTTCAGAGAAATCCCCTCCCCTTTCATAACATTATTCAGTGGATGAAGAGTGCAAGGCTAGAAGGCAGATACCTTTGTTCTGTGAACAGGGTTGTAAGGCAGATCTGTGGGGTTATTGTTTAGTTGAGAAACTTACCTGCTTCTAGAAACTCAAGGTTATGCAATGTCAGCCATACATCTGCAGTGTGTTCACGTTCCTTGGTGAGATGCTATTGTCTCAAGTGCAACTTGGCTTTTATTAGTGTCTCAGACATTCTCTTACTCCATCTGCAGACCGGCAAAGCAGACTTTTCTCATGCTTTCCTGCCCACATCCCCATCATTCTCCCTGTTTTTCTCTCCTCCAAAGAAGTATCAAATGCTTACTGCATGCCCATCTCGACTTTCTCACTTCCATCTTCCTTCTTTTCTCTTCTCTTAAGGAGATACCTCATCTGAAAGGTCTCAGATTTGGGTTCTAGGACACCGAGGCAGGTTGTTGATACTTTATGGAGTTTATGAGAAGAGTTGGTAATGCTATGGACAGTCAGCTAACAGCACAGTAGAGTTAGCAATGCCATGGACAGTCAGCTAACAGCACAGTAGAGTTAATAATACCATAGACAGTCAGCTAACAGCACAGTAGGGGCTCTAAATAGAGTCCAGGTCCCAGTACCAGGGACAGGCAACATGGCAGAGACCCAGAGGAGAGGAATCAGAGTCCATGTGGCAGAATCTGAGTCCCCCCTGAATGAGTAGCTCCTGAAATAAAAATAAGCATTTAGAGAAACTGTTTCTCTGTCCTAGCTAATAGCTCAGGGCCAGGCTCTGTCCCATCAGGTGAGACACAGGACCCCTGTATTCGGACTTGCTGCTTGCTCGCTCAGTTTTCACAGCTGTGCAGCCTTCTTTCTGCAGAAGCTGACCTTTTTGCTCCGCTGAAACACTTGGGACTGTGTAGTCATCTGCCTGACGCCCTGGATACATTTCTAGCATCCCTAGCATCTAGCAGGTGCTTGTTGGTATCAGTCAGAGGGGAAAGGGCACTGCAGGTTCTGTGGCCCAGGCAGCAGTGTGGCATGGATTCTAATACTGCATTTGATGAACCAGACTGCCTCCATCTTAGGCTTGAAAGACATCTTATAGCAAAGACAAACTAGGCTCATTACTGTTTATGATTAAATCTCTGTTTCTCAAGGATTGGGCCATGCCCCTCCTATAACCTTAACTACAAATGGTTCTGTACTGCCTGTTCCAGGAAATGCCAACCACGCCTTTGTTTCAAAAAGTTGTTATGACCACCTTTCAACCTTATCTTTGTTTCAGAAGGTTCTATGACCAACTTGCTATGTTCTGCTTCTGTAACCCTGCCTATTTGCCTGACAAATCTCCTATTTGGAAACTGCCTACCCCTTATGTTGCCCATGTCCAATGCTGACCTTTTGAACCGTACCTTAGTGGGAGGCAGCCTGTATACACGGATTAAAAAAAAAAATCTTGCTTTAATTAATTTGGCCATGATGCTTTGGGTCAGTGGTCTTTCTCCTCATATCGTTGGGATTAACACATTCTTCCAATATCCTCTTTGGTATTTTGATTCCTGAAACAACTGGTTCAAACGGGAACCCTTACAAAATAAGATGTCCTTGTCATTCCTGTTTCCTGCCTTTGATTCTTTCTCCCCTACATAATAACAGTCCAATTTTGTCTCTTTCCATCTAGCCTCCATCCCCAGATCTGTTCTACCACACTAAACTCACTGCCTGTACACAGCAACCAAGCTTTAAGTAATTTTTTAACATATTGCATTGTGTAGCAGGTTAAACATGACCTCGTATATCTCTATACTTCTAGTGTGCACAATTCCATCGCAAAGGACAGAAATCCAGCCTAGTTGATGATGTTTGACTTTACACATTTCAGGGTCAAAGAGCAAAGATAGTTTAGTGTTCACAGTAAGAGAAAAAGGTTACATAATCATGACTTTTATTTGCTTCATGCTATTCTTCAAAATCAAAATGCATGTTTTTGATGTTTTTTTCTGAAATATAAAAAGGTACACATTTGAGGTAAAAGCGGTTATCCTCAGCCATCGGCAAAGCATGTTCTCTTAGATCAAAGAGCCCTCTGGAACCATCAGTGTTTTTTCTTAGCTTTCCCCAAGCACATTCAAATCCACTCCGAATCAAAGCTGACTCGATACTGGATGTGACAGACTGGCTTTATGCAGCCAGAGAGATGGATTAATGATCTCAGCAAAAAGCTGGCATGTTCAAGAGATTTAATTTTTCTTTTTTTTTTTTTTTATATCTCAGCCTTAGCCAAAGCTGTTCTAGGGTCAGAGGAATCCCAGTTTCCCAGGAGGACGGACTCCTTGACTAATGGCCAATCTCTAAGCAGAGGGGAGGACAAAGCCTGGAGTTTGTGTCATGGCCAGGTGTGTTTGGGGGTGTG